CAAATCGATTGGAGAATATCAATTTTGGAGAAAATCGACTGAACTGTTTATGCGCAGCGTTGAACACAGACGGACAGACCGACGGACAGACGGACGAAGGAGTATTTAAATTTGCAATGACATATTGTATTTTTCAAAATTCTGAAAAAGATTGGAGTTTGTAAAACTAGTTATATACTTTATATTTAATTTGTATTCTTCCAATTCTAACTGGAATTGATATTATTTTAAAGTTTCTATATAGTTTCAAGAAAATTCCATTTAGCGACTTCACGATCTCAGGCGTTTTGTATTTATTTTATATTCCAAACAACAAAATCAATGTTTTTTCCCAGGCCACAGCTATCACATCCTCTACTTCTGATGTTGAAGGTTTTCTTTATCAGGGCGAAATGCTGCTGAAGAATGACGTGATTTACGGACCCCTAATTAAATTTCAATGCTTATATTTCCTTCCATTTGATTGAGCAGACCTAACCTAATTTACCACACAAATTTGACATTAAAATAAACTTTAAAACAATTGATGTATATACGTATGAAATGTATTTACATGTATTTATGAGTATTATTTCTGGAAATATCAAGTAAATATCGTAAAATCTCATTACAAAACGAGCTTCATAATAAAAATTTGCATAACGGCCTCGTTAGATAGTTCTCCAATCTTTTATTGTAATAACTAATAAAATCTTATGATACTAATGTCGTAAATAATTTTTATCGTCCTGTATAATAAATTATCATCGCTGTAAAGCATATCTCCCTGAGAACTTTAAATTTCTCCAGAACCACCTACGCATGATTGGCCATATTTTCAACCCTATTCAATATTTCATTTAGTATTTTTAACAGAATACTGTGTATTGTGATTTATCGTTATCAGTTTACAATAAAATCTTTAACATTCTGTTTAATTGTAAACTACATTAAATTCTTGCACTCAAAATATGCTGAACACCCCAACATACCATTAATTGATTACGAAATAACAACCGGCAACTATCTTTGCCTCAGCATTGCAATTATCTTTCCCTCACTCTTCCGATATTATAATTTAAAATTATACACTTTATTTATTTATAGTTTTAGTCGAAAATAGTAAAAAAAAGTGTATCTGACGTATGAGGGAGAAGATCATCCGTTTTCCTGAGTTCCAGAATCCCTTCCCAACATTTTAACTATAAATAGTTGAAAGTTGAATAAAAGTTTAAAACAATAATAATAATAATAATAATAATAATAATAATAATAATAATAATAATAATAATAATAATAATAATAAAATGTAGAAAGCGCAAGATTAGCATGATTTGAAAAACTACACATTTTCGTTCTGGAGTTAAAGAAAATTTATTTGCGATGGTAAAGGAACTGCAGATTTGATTTTTCTGCATTGCTAACAAAACACTCACCCTCAGCCATACTCCTACCACTACAAGCAAAAAGATAGCTCATCAAAACGTGCGCTTAGTGAAGCTAAACTTATATTCAGAAGCGAATCAAGGGGCCATCTCAGCATTTGCTAAATGGATCAGGAAAACTGGACAAAATTCTGGTCGAGATGGAGATCATTGACTCGGAAGCTGCAGTGCATTACTTGCTACAGGCTTATTAGTCTTTTTAAAAAATTATACAAATGTAAACTAATTCATTATAATAATTACAACACAAAACGCTCAGACTCTCTTCATTTTTTGGAACCAAAGATTCTTACAACTGCTGGGGACAATCATAGTGCTAATTTTGGCCCAAGACTATATAACAATATTGTTGAAAAATACCCTCAATTATCAACTGCAAATTACAAACAATTTAAATATGAAATAAAAAACCTATTTCGAAAAGACCTATTATAATTTATGTAGTTCATGTATGAGTTTACTGATCTCCTCTGACGCAAGTAATAGTTATTTTGTAATTTTCTTCTTGTTTTTGCAATATTATTTTTTATTTTTACTTTCGACTGACATTAAGATCCTTTATGTAATTTATTGTTATTAATTTAGTTATGGCTACTTGTAAGACCTTTCATGTAAAATCTCTTTAAGACAAGTTTAGCTCTTTCAAGGTTGGGCTAGAAATAATTTTATGTAACTAATATGTAATGTTCATTGCTATCAATAAATATATTATATTATTTTTATTATTATATACCATTGTTATGTCGAAATAAACATCATTTTCCTTTGATGAATGTCTAAAAATAAAAAGGAGCTGAGACATATTTTTATAATAGCTGCATAATTATAAGGTGTTCAAAACTAAAACACTTGTGCACAGGCCATTTCTTTCCTTATCATTCACAATTTACGTTGACAAAAACAGCATACCGTCCAAAATCCTCCTAGGAAACCTCGGATACAGTCCATTGGCGATATCTTTTTAGTTCACTAAAAAGAACGCTCGTATAAAGAACCGTTCGCATAAAATAAAATTTGTCCATCCCTATTTTCAAACAAGTGCCTGTGTGGTCACGTGGTTCGTGGCGCAATCTGGTGCTGCGCAGAACAAGCAAAACTCGGTGCGACGAAGTAGCCAGTATCTTTCCACCATGACGCACACTGTTATTTTCAGCTATAACACATTTAACATAACACAATTAAAATTGGTGGTATAACATAACACATTTAATAGTGATGGTAATAAGATAGAAGAAGTCCCTCATTTCAAATACTTAGGGATGACACTGCAAACAAGTGGAAGAAGCTTCACCAATTGCATTGCAGAGAAAACCTCTCAAGCAATGATCGCCATCAATGAAATCAAATTTATTCGGCTCTTGACCATGATCGCGGCTGCGAAGCTTTTTCAAGCAAAGGTCTTACCAGTCATTACTTACGGTATTGATGCCATCTGGGAAAACTCACAATAGGAAGTCTATATGACCTGGAAAAAATGAAAGCCCCATTTCTAAAACAAGCATTGGGCTTATCTAAATTAACAAGATCCAGACTGGCATATGTACTTTCCCAAGAAGCATTCCTGATGGAGGAACTCAGACTGCAATTCCTCCTACCAAATACCAAGGCAGCGGAATCACTCTTACAAAGCATGAACAGTAAAAGAGAAGAAATATGGCCAGAGTTCTACACTACCGAGGCGCTGTGTGCCAAGCTCTCATTGCCCAGTGGTGAAGTCGCTTGCCTTTCACCACTAAGGTTCCGAGTTCGATTCCCGTAGAATGACCGTAGAACCTCATGTGAAATTTGTTACGACAAAACGAGTTTGCATGCTTCACAGGGGCTAGTCCAACCCCTGTGAAGCGTCCTAAACCTTACCATATCCTTATTTCTTCCCACTTCTGATCAATGGGTAGATGACACAGGGCGAGCGCGAAGACGATCCGCAATTCCCTAATTTGACTACCCAGCGACCAGGTGATTATTAACGGAGGATTACTCCACGGTGCGCTCAACACTCCTTAAGGACTTAGGAGACACATTGTTTATGTATTGTATGTATATTCACGCAACCTTTTTTTAAAGCTGGATGTCGGCAGGCTACGAGACGTGGTCACGAGGTCCGCAGTACATGGTTTTCACCATCTGTTGTGCAAAATGAAAAACTGCGTTTGCGAACTCTGCGGGAGCGTCTGCAATCGATACCACCTCCAGCATTGTAAAGAAAGACGGCTGTCAATTATCAGGCATCAAGAAAGACGGCACGGATGAGGAGTAACTGTGTGACTTAGTGATGATCTTTAACTATGATATTTATTTTCTTTTATTCTCTCTCTTACTTTCTGTAAAAATATTGCACACATGTGCGTTTTTCAGTGTACTCAAATTATTCGCAGCTATTCTACTATACTGTGCTCCATGGTGGAAAACGATGGGTAATCTACTCCGCTGCACCAATTTTCGCTCGTTCTGCGCAGCACCAGTTTGTGTCACGATCCACGTGACCACAGCACAGACACTTCGTTTGAAAAGTCAGACCAGACGCTGGCCGCCATGTTGTATGGAGAGCGAGAAGTGTTGAGAAACATTTTGAAAAGTGGCATAAAGTGAAAACTTTCAACAAAAATTAACACGACGAAGGTGTAATTGAAGGAAAAGATGCAACATTTAAAGAAAGGGCTCTATAAATCTGTTTCAATGACTTTTAACTAGATACCGGAAAAATATATAGTATGAAACGTGAAAATATGTACATAAACATCTAATGAAAACAGTAAGAATATGTACTAAATATGTAAAATCGGATGTAATATGTAACATCTAATTGTTAAACATATTTACATAATATGAAAGTACATTATAGAAATATTCTTAAATATTTTTTTAAAAGATTACAATGATTTAAAAATAATTCAGTCAATCATTCAGTACTAGTAAAAGTTTCTTCTATTGCTCTTCAGGACTTAGTTTAGCAGCCAAATTAGACGCAATAGATGCAAACTGGCGATATATACGGCCAGCAGACAATCACTGCAGCGAGCAGAATTCACATCGAAATGTTACACGTCGGTGATCGCCGATGTTTCTAAGGGAATTACGGTTAAAGGTCTAGAAATGCGGTGTCAGTGATACCTTTCACACTTAACGGTGAAAATGATCTCATTCGCTGAAGCTCTCTTCCTGCCACAGAGATAACTCAAGCAGGTGCGCCGGATTGTGAGAACATCCGCCCGAATCTTTACGTAAATACATGGAGGGGACAGCACGCAGAAATAATACAAGAAAAATACTTATTTTCGTAAAAAAATGTAAAAAAATTAATAGAATAAAAATATTTTGTGAAAATAGTAATATATGTCAAATATGTGATATAGTATTAATAAGTAAAAATATGTGACGAAAAAATAGATATTGTGTTTAGTCGGCGACGACTCGCTGAGATTACAATTTTCAGAACGTTAAGTAGAAAGACAAAAAATATCCAACTACATAAAAATCCAGTCTCTTCTTGTACGAGGTAATAATTTTGGAATTTTAAAATTCCCGCTAATATTGTGAGGCAATCTGGTGTCTGAAGCTCATTGGCTGAAGTCTGATACGATGCAAAAGATCCGTCTTTCCATGCTATGCTCTTCAATTCTTCATGATACTGTACGTGACACTTCACCTGTATGTTGATCAATGTTGATAGAAGTTGATTGATACACTAGGCCGCATGGTACATTGTCACGAGGTACTTGTGTGTGGAAATTATTTTTTTCCTGGGAATATGAAAAAATTACACAAATAATTTCTGATATAAGTGTTTTCACGTGGATATAAATTATATTATTCAAAAATATTTAAAGTGAATGAAGTTTTTTCTGGGTATCTGAAGTGTTGTATTATTAAGAGCAGAAATGTCGAAAAATTTGGTTCAATACATAATATTGCGAGGAGATCTTTTAAAAACCTGGAAAGTTGGCCCGATGATTGCACAAGCATGTCATGGTGTTACTGCTGTCATGGCTAAACATTACAGTGATCCATATGTGCAAGAGTATTTGCAAGATCTTGACAACATGCATAAAGTAGTTTTAGAAGTAAGATGATGTTTAATGAATTTGTATTAACATTTCTCATACAAGTAATATTTTCAAGTTTTGCTGTTTTGTTTTTCAGGCCCCTGATCTTCCCTGCATAGAAAAACTGGTGTCAGTTCTGAAGGAAAACAATATTGACCACACTGTTTGGATTGAAAAACCAGAAAATTTCTGCACTTGTTTAGTATTAAAACCATACCCTAAAACAGAAGTTGAAGAGTATGTAAAAGAGTTTAAGCTTTGCAGTAAGAAAATAAAGTAATCGATTTTTATGTCTTTTATTTATTTTTAAAACTATAAAATCTTTAGATTTAATTCCATTTTGAAGTTGTGTTGTCTATTACTGCTTAACAAAGAAATAATGATGGGACTTTATCGTCAGCTCTTCAAAGGTTAGATTCTTCAAACCTGTTCCGGTGTCATCTGCTACCTTGTCTTTTCTACATCTCTCTTCTGCATCTGTAGGTCATTGTGAGTGCAGGTAACCTGTTGTCTGGAATTCTTCATAGATGTTCACACTATCTCTCCTTATTTCTTTTCATTTTCTCCAGCTGTGGTTTGACGCCTAATTTTTTTCTTATCTCAATATTTTTTTGTTTATTTAAAATTGTATAGCAAGGAAAGTTTCTCATGAATTTTATTTCTACTGCCTGGATTCTGAATTTATCTTCCCTTGATATTACTCTGGCTTCGTCACCAAACAATAGCAATGGTACAGCAACTGTACTTTTAAAATTTTTTTTTTTTTTCTCTCCTTGCTCTCGTTCTTAAATATTTGTATTGAAGCAAAATCATTTCTAAATTTATTTAATTTTTTATCTAAATCTATATCTGTCTCAAGTGAAATATGACAACTTAGGAGACTATTTGAAATATTGTGTCACATAACAATGTACAAGAATAACATGGTGGAACTTGATAATCGTAACTGCATGTCTATGAAAGCGATCACTGTGGCATTTATTATGATGAGAAAACAGTAAAACAATTTAATGAAAATCTGGAATCATCATAGATACAAGAATATTCAGCAAATAAGATCTCACCTTATGTAATGCACTGACAGCCATTGCCAATTTTTCATTTAAAAATTTTTAAAATAATTAAAAGGTTTATCTAGGACCAATATCCATCTCTTGTTTATTTAAATTTGAAAAGCGTATCTTGACCAAACAACATAAGTACTACTAGAATTAATATGTTGACTATGATATTAATATGATACTATGGAGCAGTCTTCTTTAGCATTTGTAGTCAGCATTGTGATTCTTTACCTTTCTGTTTTATTTTTGTCTTAAAGGTTTTGGAAAGATGTCACAGCAGCTGTTGATCCAAAACCTTGCTTTTTACCACAGTTGTTTTCAGTTCTTCCTAATATGCAATATAATGATGATGATCATGTAATGGAATGTAAGGTGATGCGATGAGTAATAAGAATAGAGATGGTGAAATCTTCATTCACCATGTATCCCACATGAACTGTCTGTAAATCAGATCCCAGTACCTTGAAGCTTAGCATGCAAGCTGCAATCTGTGGGTCACCCTATCTCTACAGTATATTGCAATTTTCGTAACTCTGCCCTTGCAGGTATCAGCTGTTGACAGTTTCATCCAATTGGGAGCTTGAACATCACCATTGTGATATCCAAGGTCCCAATTATATGAAACCGTCAGCAGCTTATATCTGCCAGGGGCAATTGCATTAATCACAGTATAAAAGGTTGATAGAGCCTGTTTCATCACCTATTTATTTAGTCATGGGCTTACAAAGAATGGAGTTTTCCATTTATTGTCAACACCCGCAGCAAGCCAACAAATGCAAATGCTTAAAAAAGGCAGTGGATATTTACAGTAGGATGAAGAGAATTTGTGCTTATGATTGAATTTCATCATTTTAAATGAAGCATTTCTTTTTTCAATTAACTGATTACAGAAATATAGGGATAATTTCAAAAAGCTAAATGCTAATTCCTATAGAGAGAATACTACTAGAGTACTACACATACATACAGGTTATGACCATGCACTCATTTTGTCAGTGTTTTCATTTACAGTTAGCTAATTTGTAAATGACTTAATCACTATCCCACACAATGTCATTGCCATTCCTAATGTTCATTTGTTTCCCACTCTGTCAAAGTGGTCTCTTCTTAGAGTGATTTCTTTATACCTTGTGTGTTCAGTGCAATATACCTTTTTGACATGTAATTTTTTTCCCCTCAGAAGTTTGTAGCTAAGAAAAACTTAAAAATATTGTCAAGAATTTTCTGTAAAGCAATTACAAAATGTTCTGAAGTTGGGGGGAGGGGAGGGCATTATTGTAACTTTGGCCCGATGTTTTAAAAATTCAGATGTATTAGGGGTTTTAGTATAATGTATTGTCCCAAGAAGTATACTTAAGACTTCTGTTTTCTATTGACCTTGTTAATGTTCTCTCTTACACTTGTTGAAAAAACCCTGCAAGGTAGGCATTCTGGAAAGATATGAAGCAAAACATCAAACTCAAATACAGAATTTTTCAGTAATCCTTTATATTTGTTTTGCCTCTTCACTATCATCTTCAAATCGTAAAATACCATTAAAAAAAAAGAAAAAAACATTCAGTAGAAATTAATCAAAATAATTTGCACTACTTCACATTTTCTTGTTCTCCATTTTTTGGTGGATACAACTGGAATATTGCAATTTTTTAATGTCTTGTTTTACCTTAAATTATGCAAACCACTGTTAATGATGTTTAGCTACTCTGAAGTATTTTAAAATTTTAACTAAACATTTTTATTTGTGGGGAAAAAATGTTAAAATGTTATTGAGTACGTATCTATAGCTAACATCTTTTTACAAGAAAAATTGGAAAATAAAATGAGAAAGTAGGATGCATATGATCATTTATTCATTAAATTGTACAGAAAGAATTAAAACATTAGATAATAATAGGTAATACAATGTTATTGGTGTAACAGTATACAATCAATGCTCTAAATTTCATTATTGGAGAAAACCATTACAAAGAGGGTAGAGAAATAAGGTAATTTATTAGCAGTGCTACAAAGTGGCACAAATTTCTCATACAATTTGTAATAATTACATGAAATGAAATGGTAATGAATTCCAAATATTGTACCTCCAGTATTTCTTTTATCTTAGGCAATTCTCCCTCAATTCAACTGACCAAAACAGCACAGCATGTGTTCTAAGCCCCACTTAAAGGTAAAATTGATCATTTTATTGGATTCATGGCGACTACGCACTACAAAATTAGTGGTACTACATTAGCGAATACTTTCTCATATTATTGGTAATGGTTAGATAATATAAAATTGTGCCTTCTTTCCCATAAGCACACTTAAGTCATCACTTGAACAGTAAACCTCTTAAGTGAACTTTCTCCAATACATATCATATTAGAAGAGCCACACCAGCTAGTTCAACGGGTGGAAATTCACTGTGGAAAAATGAAATAAGCGGTTTAAGTGCCTAATTGATCATTAATGAAAACACTTTCAGTATCAGAACTCAGGTACGGTATTATTGATAAAATCTGATAGAAATTTACTTACTGGAACCATTGGCGAAATTTGTACTTCATTTTATTAAGTTTGTTGCCAACCTAACAATTTTAAGGTGGCAGGATTTTTTACACCTGCTAAGTCGAATTCAGTCGCTGTCTGAAGGAGAATTCTAGAGGCAGTCTGCTCTGATCGGTAGTTTTCCGCGGTTTCTCCAATTAAAACCAGGCGGATGCCGGAGCAGAGTTGTAACAAACGGACCGTGCGCGATCTTTCCTTCCTCTTCCCTATACGACGGGACGGTGCCACTAGTGGGAGATGGCTAGTTGGAAAATATCCTTGCAATTTGACGTAAGACAGCTGAATCTCACCAGCCAGCGAAGGAAGATCATCACCATCACCCGCGATGATAATATAATAATAATAATAATAATAATAATAGCAATAATAGCAATAATATTTTATTGAGACACATATACAATTACAATCGTGTATGACGAGTCAATATAATGTCGGGTGGGGAGAGTGAAATAGCATTTCTCTCCAAAAGCAAAACAATCTCAGCTCGTGGGACCAGGGAAACTAGACAAAAAACACCTTATCGAGTTGGGTCATTGGCCTAAGAATTATACTACAATACTAGTTACACATAGATTAAGATATTATACAATAAATAATTATTTTTAGTAGCAAAATAATTTAACATTTCATGATTTGTATTGATCCATGTTTAAAGTAAAAGTTTAAATTTACTTGTTATTGACATTTTACTGCTATTATAATAAAACATACACTACACTTACGGTACTAATGACCTTAGTAGTAGACGAGGCCAGGAATCACCAATCAATAAATCAACCGAACTGGCAGTCGAGTGAATCAAAATTTTGTCACCAGGGAACACAACTTTTCCTTCTGATGTAATTTAAGTCGAATGCAATGATATAATTTGTTCGAGTCGGTGGCAATTATTTGTATGAACAAGGTTGACAAAAAGTATTTATTACTGATAAACTTACCATTGATGAATGGTAAATTAATGTTAATAATAATTGAAACGTATTTTTATTGCTACAGAACATGCAGGCATTGAGTATAGCGTGATATGTCAAATTTTCGCACACACATTTTCTCTGCCATTTCTCAACTTCATTAATATCCAAATTTGGCACTTGATTTTCCACCTTTTATAATATTTTTAATCTTCGTAATGAAAAAGGTTTTTCCAATAAATCACACCGGATCCTTCAACACTAATGGATTTTTTCACTATACAAGTAATTAAAAATGTTGAAAACTGGTGTTTTATATGCTCTAAAACCTAATTAGAACTTATGATTGATGAACTTATTATAGGCTTCCGCGGCCTCAGTTTGTATCTTCTGGGCTATCCGGGATGTGCCGCGTCTCTGTCTTGGTGGCTGACGTTTCGGCCAACATGTGCCTTTCTTCAGAGTACTACTGCCAATTTGTTTTCTCCCCTCCAGTTGCCCTGGAGAGGCATGAATTTATTCAATGAAACTTGTGTACAGGTACAAGAAGTAAGATGTTAAGGAGCCCGTTTCCAGGTGGTGCTGTTGCAGAGACCAATCCAGAACCAAACAGGCTTTCTCGACCCACCAATGCGGTGTCTCTCCCGGGGGACCAACACACACACACGCACGCACGCGCGCACACACACACACACACACACACACACACACCTGTGTGGTTGCCGGGTTTTTTTGTAGAATAGCGCAACGGACGTCGCTTCGTACAACGGCGACTAAAGGAGCACTGTCCTGTCCTTTCCCTAATATCCTATTTCCCACTGTTTTCTCCCATCCACAAATCCAATGGTGGACTGAGTACTTTATGGGATCTTCTCCCTATCCCTAAAAATCCTTTCACTTCCTTCCCATTCCATCTCTGCTGCGTAGCATATTAAACGCCTAAGGGAAGGTCCCCCGAAAATAAACCAGTGATGGGTATGATGAGCCAAAATTACTACCCAGCGGAGTCGAGCGTGACGTTCGAACTCGCACCGATTCTGATCGGGTGAAGCTCCGATAGTCGATGCCGCTCCATGTGATTTGGGGGAGCCAAGCTCACAAGTGTGCTGGAAGAGGAATAGGTAAGTGAGTTTCTGAGTTGGGGAAGAAGATCGGCGATCCCTGCATTTTCGCCAAGGAATATGTACACGGGAGATAAAGCTAGGTCAGTATCCATCCGAATCGACTTTGATGATATGTGGACATGGAGGAGTACTATTGTAATTAGCTCGAGACAGTTATGGCGGAGACGCGGAGTATCACCTCAGTGGGGGTGTGCGATCCGAATACTCGATGACTCGTTATGGAGGGCCTCGAGCACACAGCAGGAGGTGCAGCCTACGGGAACATATGTTAATTTGCGTGAAGACTGTTGAAGAGCGCGGACACGTGATCTGCCGCTGACGTCGGGTGATTGGCCGGGATATTCTGGATTATCGTGGAGAGTCTTCGGCGGCGGAGTTGCCGAAGCCGCAGTAACGATGGTGATTTGTGCCTGAGCGGTACGTAGTGGAGGTGGGACCAGGGTTTCCACCACAGACTTCTGATGATTGCCGGAACTGGCTGATGATTGGGTGGACCCTAGACGCGCGGCGGAAGTTGGAGCTGACCACAGTAAGCGTTGGACAGAACTTCTTTTCTCGCTCACAGTCTTCGCGCCAATACATTAGTCTCCCCGAGGTGCATCACGCTGCTGCTGTCGAGGGCCCTCCATACATAATGAGCGGAAGACACCCCACAACTAGTCTTGAGGTGAGTCTGCGTCTCGCCTCACTGTCTCGACTAATTACAGAAAGCCCAATCACTTATCTCTTCGGATGCATGCCTAACGCGGCTTTCTCGCGGGAAGGCAATGGAGGAAAAGGGAGGTTTTTTAGTGGTAAGGCATAGGCTAAGCTATGACCCACGCTGGCGAGTGCGGTGCCCGTTTGTCGTTATAGAAGTGTTCCACTGCCACACATAAAAAAAACAGATATAGCAGTGTTATGAGCTAGTATTAATTAAGTTTTATTTAAAAAGGCCGTTCAGCAGCGGGGAAATGAAATTATTTTCAAATTCACGCCGAGGAACATCTCTGCCAGGAATAAGGAAAAGTTGTGTGCAGGCGGCCGCCTAATCCGGTGCGAAGAGCTGAGACTTTTTAATTCGCAAGGAATGTGAAAGAAGTGCCGTGGCGACAGATATGCAGGCGGATGAACGAGTCAGAGCCATTTCAGGAAGGTGGCGTCAGCAAGGGCTAAGGTCACGGGAACCTCCATCGGGTACGTGATTGGCAGGGACCGCCGTTTCATATGCGGGGGGAGAGCCCGCAAAGCGCGTAAACACCGAAGACCGACGTTCTCCAGTCTACTCATTTAAAATTTTCACCGAATTGCTTCTCATTTGAAAGATTCTCCAGTCTACTACTTATTCAATACGTTCCCGGTCTGCTTATTTTCAAATCCACCGGCGTATTTCTTCTCAAAAGTTTTCCCAACTAAATGTGATACAAAGTTTACCGAGCTTCTGTTAGTGCTGAGCTTCGCTTCAATCGGCCGCCGAGTTTCCTTTGAACGCGTTTACGTGCAGTCGCTCTAATGGGAGCGAAGACACGTGGCGTATCCCCGAGGACATTGTTCTCGCGTGTACGCGCAACCTCACCGCCGGAGAAGACGATTGAGGCCGCTGCGCCCCGAGAAAATGGATTCAACGAAAGAGTTAAGTGTAAATTAGTGTCTCAACAGCCATTACATTGTGTAAACCAACGTCGTTTGTTATGAGTAGCAATCCCCGGCATGCATGCGTCCGCTCTCCCCATAAATATTCCAGAGGCCAAAAGCAATGTCTGCCCCTCTCGCAGATATCGTGCTCTTACGAGCGTGTTATACCTCAGGGCAATGGGATTTTTTGGGGTGTTGGCAGCAAATGCATAACAAGAACACAAGTCAGTTAAACCGGGTTTCATAATCTTAAAACCCTCTTCGTTGCCTACAAAATCACACCAAAATCAAAAAAGGAACAATTGCACCCTAAAATTGAAACCCTTTCAATGAAGCAAGAATTAATCGTTTAACTATTCGCACAAATGATCACTGGGAATTCCCTTTGTCACTCTTATTATTGCTACAATTCCTATTTACATTAATATACCATTTAACACTCCTTTCAATAACTTTACTACAAAAGTGTGCAGATGCGCCACACTCTCTACAACAATTTCGTGCAACATAAATTAATATTGTTCTATTTACAGTTTCGTAGGCAATAATGCTTTTAAAATGGCAAGAATCTCTGAATGATAACTCATGCCTCCTGTATGCTTATTTCCCTCAGAAGTTCTTGGTAAACAAGTTCTCCCTGGTCGCTGCGATTTTGACCTAATTTTCGCCGCTTGCGCGTCGTTACCTCCCACATCTGCGTTCTCCGCGTTCCCACGCTCGACCTTGAAGCGTCTCGGCCTCCGTGCAGCCGATCGCCGGCCCCGGGTCGTCGGTGACTTCTCACTGCCCTATTGCGTCGCCTTCTGCGTCGCCTTGTGTGTTGTCTTCCGGTATTCTTCTCCTGGCTCCTTTCGTTCTCGTCTGCTTCGTCCCCGTCGACGTTTCTGTTTACGCCCGCGTGCGAATGTTCCTTGCACCGAACTGAAGAATTCGTGCGTAGGCGTAGATCTCGCCCGCACTGTTCCGAATTTCACCGCTAATTGAAATTTACTCGATCTCAGCACGAACTGTTTCCCTATTGTACTATCCTTAGCTCTACAATGACTGGTAGACTAGATTAACTCCCTTCGTCTTGTTCGAAGAAATACTTTCTTCCAAAAAAATCTAACAAACTTCGCGGACGGCTATCTAGGCGTCTGTTCGACGTCCAACACTCCTATCTAGTAACTCGGCGAAGTTGTTGCTGGATTGGCGGTCAAGAACGGATGAGAGTGCTGGCTCGGCGAAAGGAAATGAAAAAGAGTGACCGATCGTCGGCTCGCCTATTTATGCGTCGTCTCCCCTTCTCCAGTCTGACTGCTTCTATCATATACTTGCGCCGTGCCGCGGAATCGCGCGCAGCAGTATTATAGGCTGCAGGCGCGCCCTTTTCAAACTCACACGCCACTAGTAACGCTCTGTGGCTAATGCCAACAGTACCTTAATGAAGTCTGAAATAATCCATTCAGCATCATTCGAACAGCTTTATCCAAAGAGATTGGCCTATGTGCGAATTAATCAGATACTCCGAACATTTAGTCATGTTTCGGACGTAAGAATTGCCTACACCTGCCATAAACAGTAGTGACAGTGATAAGATCATGTGGGGAAAAAACTTATCACTGTACATCAGAAAATTTTGCTAAGAAGGTGCGGTAGATTAGGGGGGGGCTGATCTCCCTTACTTACCCTCGACCGCAACGTGTTAAAACTACTTCTGCTAATTTGTGGGAATGTGTTCTAAATAATCCGTCCCCCGACATGTTCAGCTGTAGTTACGAATTTTGACATTTATTCATTGTATTTTAACGGCAAAATTAACTGGTTAGTCAAAAAAAGTTCAATCTGTACACGTTTCTTAAACTCTGGAATTCCTAACTGGAGTAAAATTACCATAAAATGGCTAGGTGAAGATATCTCCCCCAATCCCTAGATCCGACACTGTTTCCATGACGACGAATTTTGTTGGACACAATTCAGATGTACAGATTCAGCATGGATAATAATGAAGTAGGTATTAGTCGTAAATGCAGCCTAAGGTCAATCTTCCTTTTGAAGTGGAACTTAGAACATGTTAGAAAATGGATATTGTGTATTGTGTTTCAAGCAGTTTGACGAAGATAGTTTTGCATTGTTTGAATTATATTTAATAGTTATCTACTTATTCTTATGTTTTTTTATATAAATATCCTAATTTTATGTAATCGTTACAAAAACTAGGTACTTTAAAGTTCGTGTTATGTTTTAGTACCACTGCAATCATTGTGGACGATTGCATGATGATTCTAGTCATGATATAAATTTCTTACGTCATACTTACGAAGGTGAACATTAAGTAAATCATTGTCTGACCCAATAAGTGATTTGAAAACGCTCAACCGTTTAACTAATCAACTAATCCTTCAATTAAATTTTCGGCCGTAACATGTTCATGCTCAGGTTCATTTTATAATAAAAAAGTAATATTAATTTAACATGGATTAAAAAGGTATTATTTTTTGAAGATACCCATTCCTTATGCTAATATTTCTGATCAGAGCCGCATTACGAACCGAAAACCAAAAGCCCGACGAGAAAACGTAAGCTCTGATTTTTCCACGTGTTTCAAATACATAGGTAGCACTTAAGTATTTGCTTTACTACTTACATATCATCAATTGCATTTTCACTCATGAAATGACAATTCCGAACATTTGAGAAGAAATCAATGCTATTTTATCGCATCGAAAACCATTTATGCAATGAATAATAGTTTTCACATGACAAAAGGCCCTATTTTTATTTGACAGAGTGGAGAACTGTTAAAGAATCACAAATCCTTTTTCGTTATAACATAACCTCAATCATAAATCGAAATCTGTACACTTTTATTTTAAATTTGTATTTAAATAAATCTTTCTAAATTTCTTTCAATATTTTCCAAAATTTCACAGAGGCAGGTCTAGTGAATTTGTTGGTTAAAACTGTTACGTTTCTGGCATGATGTTTATGATTTACGTTTTTCTTTTTACACAATGTGAGCATCAAGAATATTAAAATTATATCAAAAATATCTCTAAGATTAAATCTGGAAGATTTTTTACGCGAGATCATGTATTGTTTTCAGTTTCTATTACTAATTCAATCAAACATACTTCATTATAAGTTGCTTTGAATAATTACTTATTTCCATTTATATTTTTACAATAAATCTGTAAACACAAATTTCTAAAACGATTTATAATTTAAAATCCATAACTCGGTATAAGAAAGCTAACAAAATTATTTTATTTGAGGAGTTATAGTGTTGAGGGCTGTCCAGCAATTCAGTCTAAACGATCTTGACACATTAATCAAAAGCCATGACTAATCCCACATAAATATTCAAGAACTTTTTCGTTGGAAAATGTTATATTCTATATTCAATGAAAATTGTTTTATTAAAAAATATGTGGAGTTTGCAAAAAATCATTTCGGTGGCATAATTAATTTTAATGTCGAAAGCTGTCCGAATAGGAATGTTTGCCGTGCCTGTGTATCGGCTCGCGTTACGTTACTGTTTTTCATGCCGGGTGTGGGAGGGTGGATCACCAAGATTCTGATGCGATCTGAGGGCTCCTGTCATTCTCGTTAGTTGTTGTGATGAGTTAGTGGATTTTTTTAGGACGGTTGTGGTGCATTTTAACGAACAATTTCCAATTTTAAATTAAATATTGACCTATTTTTGTAGAAAATTAATTTTAAAATCGGAGAAGAAAGATCGTCTTCCAAATATATTGTATGTGATTATGTCGGTACTACAGTATATGTCATTAAATATGAGTTCCAGTAATAAAATTTCTTATTCATTTTCCAGTGTAGGCCTACATCCAAAGTGAGCCTCCATTCTCCAAGGAAGTGAGGGTAAGTTACATATCTTAATTGAAATATATTTAAATAAAGTTGTATTAAAATTAGATTGATAGTATGAATATTCCATCCCCTTTGAATAGTCCTTTTCTCATGTGTTTGAATTTATGTTATGAAAGTCTTGGAACCTGTATATGCACTATCTAGATATGATGCTAATTAATTCATAGTTGCAAAATATCTCCCATACATTATGCAAAAATCATGTCAAATTTATTACATTTTCTTAATACTCTGAGAAGTTAGATCTTGGCCTAGTGTTTATTTGGGCCGTTGCAAGTCAAAAAAAATAAAAATACAAGGAGAAAAACAATATATTCCTCAATCGCTGTGTTTCTTAATGCTCATAACTTTGATTAGCCTGCAGAAAGTTTACTTTGCATAAGTCAGATGTAGAAAGACATTGACCGAGTAGTTTTGTGAGAAGCAGATTTTGCAGGATCCTTGAAGTGAACAAAATAAGAGTTCATGGAAAACACTAATTTAATCAGAGTTATGTGTTACAATTTTTAATGTTCTCAGAATAAGCAATAAGGTTCATTATATTAAACAGGGTTTTGAAAGTAGAAAGATTTGTTGAAAGATCATCGAGAAGAGAATTAAAGAACTATTAATAACTATTAGTTCTTTTAGTTAAATAGCAGTATATGAAGTATTAGCTGAATTAAAAAAAATAATTATTAGAAGGTATTTCTGTTTTATGGATGTCACTTTTCCTTGTGTCTTTCATAACAATAACTGGTGGTTTATTGCTACAGTAGTAAGATTGGTTAAAACTTCTAAAATTTGATTCTCAGTGCGCTTCTACCTAATTTCTTTTTATGTAACTTGGATCTATTATCACAAAATATCATAAGAAAATCGTGCATAAGAAAGGTTCTGTGAAGTCTAATTTTAACAAATATATTTCCTGTAATTGTCTTATATTTTTGAATGAAGTCTTTTGTATATCGTTGCTATTTTTATACCTGTATTGATCAGAAAGCTTGTGCCATGATCATAAAATTGTACCCTTCACTAAAATTGATTTCATGGTGATGAGTTTGCTACATTAAAGATTGTGACGGAATTTGAAGAAAAATAAAATAGAAGAGACAACAAAAGACTTTCATCCAAAAATTCCGGTTTGGAAAGAGAAATAAATTGTGAAGAGGTGTAAGTAAACATGAAAAGTATCGGGAATGCTTGATAAAGAAGAATGTTTGTACTTAATGTTCTTGTTTTGATACAGGATAATTTGAGTGTCATTAGTTGTTTTTCTTAAAGTGAACATTTAAAAATTATATCAGCAATTTTAAAAAACTGAAGACAACTTGATAGATTATAAGATGGCATGTATCACAATTTTAAGATTGTTATCGTTAGTAATTTAATGTTTAAACAACTCAATGTGAACATTCTAATTTTCAGGTGCTAATAGTTTTCTAAAAGATGACATCACTATACACACTCACATTTCACTGGGAATAGTTGTCTGAAATATTTCCAGTACTGCTCTTTTTAATTTTTTTTCAAAAAATTCACAAAGTCTTTCAGTTTAGGTTGTTTATCTGAAAATTATAAAGTTTTTGAATAATTTTATCCTAATCATGCAACCCAACCAATATATTTTGGAATTTATTTGAAATTGTATAAGCTGAGAAAAGGCTCGTGGAGCGTAATGTATTTTTGTCTCTCATAGGTGAAAACAGGTAAAACTGCCCACTGCATTAAATTATTGGCTTCTTCTGTATTAACAAATTGAGTGGCATGAGGCTGCTGATGGCACTAGCATAGACCCTTCTGAAGAGCCATGTGGCTGCCAGCTGACTCCATGCACATAGAAATTCTAACAGTTCTCTTTCATGACATCGACTGACTGTATTGACATCAACTCATATCCCTTCCAAGTAAACTATAAAGCAAATTGGAAGTTTGACCTGCAGATTAGTGAATGTTTGTCTGACAATATCATCAGTGTACTTCAAATAACTCGTCATAAAATCATAGAATACGATATTACTGTTTGGACCCGGGGTGAATCCAATGCTGCTCAAATGGGTGGGACTAAATGTGTTAATATGTCTGGGATTTCTGTGCATCTGAGAGATGTAGAAGCAATGTCAAATATCATTTTCATCATTAACTTCACATAATTGATTTTCACTGCTATCTCACTGCAAATTTCTTATCGCCCGAAAATATCTTCAAGGAAAGAGAACAGAATAATAAATTGTAATATTTATTTTCTTTTATACATTTTTGTTAAAATGGGCTCATCTGGGAAATGTTTGTGAAATGAACACCTTTCCATTATTCTTTTACAGGCTATGGAGGCAAATTCAAAAAAATTGTGTGTGTTGTGAAGATGATGATATCAGATAATATATTTCTAATTCCTAGAACCCAGTTGTAAGATCTTAACTCTCAATTTTTGTTGAGAAATGTATGTACTGTAAAGGAAATTGTTGAAAAGAGCATACACTTTCCAAATTACAACCTTAGACTGTTCTTGTCTAGCTACAGTCTTCAGCCCCATTCTTTTCTGTTCACTTGTTTTTCCAGGTCGAAAAGTTCATAGAACACCGTCTTTTTGATGTGATTTAGGTGCAAATGGACACTTTACCTAAAAATGAAGTAATGTAATATTGAAATATTTCAATGAGGAAAGAAATGCTTTCAGCATGTTGGAAATAAATATCACCGAAATGTGATATAAAAATTACAAAATTTGACAAGAGAATAAATGCATGCAAACATAACTGTTGAAAGTCCGTGGCACAAATATCTCTGTTGGCAGAATAATTCAATATTTTTTCATACATTAAATTTGAATTATAGCAGGAAAGTGTATTTATTCACCATACCATTTTTGGAAGATTTTTTAAATAAAAGTACTTTTAAAATTTATTTCTTTTTATGGTAAATGGCCCAATAACTCATTAGCAGTAGTTTGGCAATTGCAAATATTAATACTTGTATGTTGAAGGACTTCAGCTTATTAACAGTTTAGCCACATTATGAATTGCTTATGAATAATTAAGTGCTTATTAAAAAAGGTATTATGCTGTGTAGATGTAGTTCAACCACATAAAAACATCTGTTTTAAAGGCTTTTAGCAATCTAATACTGAAGAAGACTAAACATTTGCACTCGGTTGTAACTTGTCTTATAGGTTATGACAATTTCAAAAATATTCCTCATTTATTTCACCCTCCTAAATATTAGTACTTCAGATTATTTTCAAAAATATTTATATTTCCATGAGGGAAAAAAACAACAACAATCCAGTACTCATCGTTTTTTATAATTATATTTCTTTGGCACTGCCTGCTTGTTTGAGGAAGAGTATGAGCCTGTAGGTTAAGAAATGTTATTACACATTACTTCCATTTTTTGTTCCATTTCTGTAATTCACTCAAGATGTTTCTCTGTAGCACTATTACCCATTTTCATAAGCCTTGTAACCATTATTTGTTAATTTAAATGTGCATCTTGAAATCATATTTGTTGAAAGGTCACGTTGAAGAGAAAATACTTCCTAATATTAATGTAACACAAAGATCCCTAAGAAGCCCCTAATTTTGTGAGTCATTTTTTAATAATTTTAAGTTAAATTATTCAGTTGCGTAATAAATTTATTTTAGGGACCTCGCTAAGGTTCTAGTGAAAATTTATGTGTACGTCCCACTATATAAAATGTAGTGATCTATATTGTCTTATTATCAATACATATGATGAGGGATAAATATCTCAGAACTGTACGATATTTGGCAGAAGTGAATTTTTCACCTATGATTGGAATAACATTAACGAGTGAACGATTGGTTTTCGAGGCTTAAACTATAAAAGTCTTCAATTTTATTGAAGCAAAATTCAAAATGTTTGTAGCAATTATTCGTGATGTTATAACCAAGGTACTTTATTTTTCTGTATTATAACTAGGTGGCGGATTTTAATGAAATGTCATCTTTTTTCTTTTCACTGTTTAGAACAATGATATTTGGTGTAGAAATTAATTTTATGTTATGACAAAATGAAATGACTCATTTTTGTGTGTCCTTTTTTTGCATTTTTTGACAATTTCGAGTATTAAGTCATTTTTTACCTTTTTATGTAATTTTAATGCGTTTTTCGGTGATTCCATCGATTTTAATATCATTTTAATGGTATTTGCTTCAAGCGATATTTACGAGGTGCAACAAATGTTCATCACAGAATTCCTGAGTAGCCTATTCGATTTCTTCACTCATTTATTGTAATGTGAGCCGTTGTTAGTACTATGTAATTTAAGACTCCTGTGACGCCAATCAGTGCCATTGATAGTTCGGCCTTTTTTACGATAAATAAAGGCAGAGATTTTCTTTTAAAGAACAGTCCAAACCAAAAATTTGCAGGCTGAGTTCACGTGAACAAAAGGAAGATGCCTCGATTACATAAGTAACATATCCAACAACTTGAGTTGTTCATCTGAAGTGGTTTTGATTAAAATTTTTTCATCTTTTGTTTTTAGGGCATTTTAAAAGCGTTTTAAGAACATTTTATTGGTCATTTTTGACAATGTTTTAGGTCATCAGAATCTGCTTCCTAATTATAACTAAGATTTATTTTCTAAAATTAACAAATATATTCTATATTTAAATAAAAGTAGAATTGTACATATAAATAATTTCATATTTAATTTTTAATGTTTTGTGTGTTCAAGTTCATGATTTCCTGAACTATTTTTTATGGTCTTGAGGTAGATGGTTCTTAAACAAATTATTCCTTGATTTATTAACAAATCTGAATTTGATGTTCAGAAGGGAGTCTTAATACACTGGAAAATCATTCTAATTAATTTTTTTTTATTTTTGTAGGTACTTAACATGAAGTGTCAAGGATTGTTTCAAAATTTTCTTAAAAAGGCTTCTTTTTTTACATTTTTTGCTTATATATAAGTATGCGAATTATAACCTTTGAATATATGGGAAATTTCTAAAGTTTTTTTTTTTTTTTATCCTCTGCAACAACTT